TTTTTTATTTGTCCTGGAATCTGACCCCTTCAGCCTGTCACAGATCTGTTTTTTCAACATCTAATGCCATTAATAATTAGGTATCTCAGTTCTCTGACCGTGAGAACTAAATGATATGTACCACAGAACATCCTGCTTGCCTCAGAAATCTTTTCATCTCTTAGTTATCTCCTCATCGCTGTCATTATAAAAATGGATATGGATCTGAAAATGGGTCATGCAAAAAAAACCTTCCACAAATGATGCCCCAAGACATAATCAGAACCCTTAAATCTCTATATTTCAATGGGTTCAGTGGAGCTACAGTGACTTCAGTAATTCTTTTTATGGCAGTCAGTGATCAGAAAATACTTCTGCATATTCAGTAATGCTTCATCTCTCGTTCTTTACACACTGTAATAGTTTATTTTTCAATTTATACTTACAAGTTGGGTCTCAGGAGGTTAGTGGTATTTTCACATATCCATATAAGCTCTAAGTTTCTTAAATGTGGTGTCATGAATAATTGTCATCACTCAAGAGGCATGTAAAGCCTACCGAGTCCTTTTCAAAAAAATTGAATAACCCTTATCTCACACCAGGGATTTCTTGGTTTTAAGTGTCTCCAATTAATTACTGCTGCCTCGTAGACTCATAAACTATCCAATATTTCCTGGAGAGACGTAGAGGCAGAATTCTTTCAGACCAGCACATCCAGAAAACAACCCTTGCTCAGTACAGATAATGCTTCCCACTGACTCTGCTAATGTTTCTTACATCTTCAACAGCTACAGCCTTGAAAGTATTTGTAACTTTTTTATCTTCCCTTCCCCCCCCCCTTTCCCATGGTGTCATATGAGATCTGACTGTGTGTCATTAACTGTTTGACATGTCCTGGATATCATTTGGAGCCAGGCTGTTTTCATGTGAAATCATTTTGAAGGATTTTACATAAGAAGCTCTTACTCCATCTACTAAATCTGGTTTATGTTACTTCACCTTTCAAACTGCCCAAACACATGACATCTCCTGAAAATTAACAAAGTATATACTATGAGGTGATACCTAATTTAGTTTATCCTATGAAAGTCTGATCAGCTCCCACAGAAATAAATTAAAAACACTGTGTTGACCTAACAAAAATTAGATTTGACCCTAAAAGGGCAGGACTCTGCTTACATGAACAGAGAGAACATGGTATTTCTATCAGTCTTTAAAGTGAGAATGAAAATTCAGGAATCTCTTATTAGAGAGAAGGAGAGAGATAAGGACATAATTCCAGTGAAGTCAGCAGAGATAAACTGATAAAACTGCTTTCAGGATGAATTCTGACAAATGAAGCAAAGCTAGAGTAGCTGTTACAGCCTCAGGTTAAAATCAAGACACAAAATAAAGATGTTTTGCATGATAGAGACCGTTTATAACCATAAGGACATACATTCAGCTTAGCACTTTGATCTTTTCCCTTTTATACTTGCATTTATGATCTCACCTGGGTTTCCCACCCTGGATTTCTTCACAGCCATTTCTTCACATGCTGTACTCTGTGCTTAGGGATTTTGGGAGCTGCTATGGATTCTGCTTGGAGAGTGCATGTCAGTGCCCATGGAGCACTGCAGCAGTGCTGTCACCTGGATTTTAAACTTTTGAAACAGTACTTCATCTAGGGATAAAATTCCCTTGTCTGCCTTGGCAGGGGTCCAGAGCTCTTCCTGTGCTCTGCATACAGTCTTCCTGAAGTCTCTGACATGCTTTTGCTCTCCTGGATCTTCCAGAGGGAAGAACAGCAGCTCAAAAGTGGAGTTACTCTGTGCTGTTGCCCTGGGTGTGACTGGGCTCTTTGGGGTTCCTGTGACCAGCTCAGAAACCCTTTCTGGAGGCTTCCCCACAGCACAGGCCAGGCTGAAGCTGCTGCTGCCTGGGGAGTGTGAAATGAAGGGCACCCCTTGGTCCCCTCCTCATCTAAAACTCTGCCCCGCTGATCTCTAGAAGGATCATTACTGTGCATCTGCAGCAACCCTGGAACGAAGCTGGCCCTCCCAATGGGAGCAGGTGTCACTAGGAAATGACGAAGCAGCACCTATTAAACCTGCACATTCTTTTATATTTAGAAAAGACAGAGAAAACCTATCCAGAATCTAGACTTCTGCTAAGTCGTAGAATCGTAGAATCATCAAGTGGTTTGGATTGGAAGGGACCTTAAAGCCCATCCAGTTCCACCTCCTGCCATGGGCAGGGACACCTTCCACTAGCCCAGGTTGCCCAAGGCCCATCCAACCTGGTCTTGGACACTTCCAGGGATCCAGGGGCAGCCACGGCTTCTCTGGGCAGCCTGTGATCATGCTCTAAGACTAGTTGCCCCCACTAAAGAAAATAAAGTTGCTGACCCTACAGGCAGATTAAATGCTTTCTCTAGTTAACTGATATGGTTTTGCAAGTGAAAAAGTGTATTGGGTGTGAAGCCCAGCTGCTTTTTGGTGGAACAGTTCCCGTAAGTGTAAAACTCAAAGACAGAAACAACCCCCATGTTCACTTCAACACTGAGGTTCTTCATTAAAACATAAAATACATTAAGCGTGGAACATAAATATCACTTTTAGAAGAAAGGGAAAATGAGGCTCCATTAGTAAAGACAGTGAATAAGGAAATATAACTGAGATGGATTTGATTAATAGATTAGGAATGACAAAATAATCCAAGTAATGTTTACTTTCCCAGCATTAAGTAACCTTAATTACATTCTACTTCTCTAATAGATGTTTGCCACAGGGCATTTATCCACCATGTTGAACAGTAAATTTATGCATTTCTTTATGTAAGTCTCAGTATCAGCAGTCTATTTTCAAAAGCAACATTAAGGTCATGTAATGTTCTATATTTAGGGTCTGTGCCAGAGCCCACTGGAGCTGCATCCCACTGAATCCCCAGCACCAAAGTGAGCCTTGTTGATGTGAGATGTTCCACACTGGGGAGTGTAATTGCTCTCTGGTCTGTCTGCCATCCACAGAAATAGTGCATTTGCCACTTTTCTGTAGGTGAGAAAGTGAGTACCAAAATTATGACTCAAGGTCCCCACCAGGTTTTACAGCTCTACATATTTTTATATGTACACTTATATAGGCATTTTACAAGGGCATGTAGTGATAGGACGAGGGATAATGAGTTTTAACTGAAAGAGGGTAGATTTCCATTAGCTATTGGAACTCAGAGCAGTTGGCCTTTGCTTCAGATTTTGCTGAGATTGGGCAGACAGGGTTTGGGCAGCTGCAAACCTTTCCTGGTCACTCCTGCTCTCCACAACCTCTCAGACATATCCAAGGCTCATAGAATGGTTTAGGTGGGAAGAGACCTTGAAGATCCTCCAGTGTCACCCCCTGCCATGGGCAGGGACACCTTCCACCAGCCCAGGTTGCTCCAAGCCCTGTCCAACCTGGCCTTGGACTCTCCCAGGGATCCAGGGGCAGCCACAGCTTCTCTGGGCAACCTGTGCCAGGGCCTCCCCACCCTCACAGAGGGACAAGGTAAGAGTCAACAGGAAGCATCTGAAACTCTGGTCCCTTATTTGCAAATTCTCCATGTATTTTGCTCCATGAAAATAATTTGTGGAGGGAAAGAGATAATGGCTGTTTATGAAAGTGGCAGTGTTTGTTATCACTGTGAAATAAGAGCAAATTCCTAAAAAAGTAAAATTATCTAAATTATGGGAGAGGTGGTTGAACTCCACAGTGGTGACATTTCTAACTATAAATATTGGAATGAAGCAAACAAGTGAATAATCCCTTTCCACAAAGCACTGCTCATAACAGCTGACATTTTCAGGCCCTATTTCAGTGCCTTGCTGTATGTTAAATACTATTGCCACATTAAAATATAAATTTCAACTTTGAAATGTTACAGAAATAACTCGTCCTTTCCTTGAGGAACGATGTCACTGTCAATGGACTGCAAAGAAATAAGAAGACATCTGTGCAGAGACAAAGAGAACTGGAGTAGGGTATTATAGTGCCCTTCTGGTGGAATCTGCATGGATTATTATTATTACTAATTATATTTTGTCTTTGTTGTATTGAGCCCATTGACTGCTGTGCATCCAGTTTTGGGCAGGGAACATCTGAGTTTGATTAGTAAGAAGTACTTTTAATATTTACTCTGCTACTACCAAAAGCCATTTTGCATTTCAAAGGGATTCATTGTATTTATTCCCTCATTAAACAACCTATTTTTCAGCTGAAGACAGGTTTTGTGTAGTGAAGTGTTAATACCTAAAACCAATATCTTCTTATGTTGAGGATGTTACCTGCTGATTAAAACAGGGATCCAGCTCAACTGGGCAAGTTGCTTCCCATCTCTCCGAGACACCAGCACTCAGGAGATGTGATTGATACCTGCTTCCTCTGTGCAAAGATGGGTGAGCTTTATTAGCTCTTTGTGAAGTTTAAATGAAAGATATTGATCCTTTGATGTGAGGAAGACCTTGTTCTTCCTCCCAGCCTGAAGTTCAGGTGTCACAGCCTGAAGCTGGGGTAGTTGGGCTTTGGCCTATTGACCCACTGAGTCATGAAGGCACTAAGGCAAAATAAGCAGCGTGTAGGTGAGCATTTAAACCTCCAAACCTCCACTGGGAAGGGAAAGCTGATCCAGGGTAAGCAGCTCCTATGAAGTTTAGCTTTCAGCTGGATAATGCACCTCACACGCCAGACAGAGCAGCTCAGTCTGAGCTTGGCTGCCAGGGAGGACTGGCCTCGGTCTGTCACCAGCCTGAAGGGGAAGGTCCTGCTACTGTGACACTTTTAGGGCTTAACTGAATGTTCTATTTTTATATTTATTCTCAGGAAGTATTTGCACAAGAGTTTACGAGCACAGGGAGTGACTGGCCGTGGCACTCAGTGCTCTGGGCTGGGTGACAAGGTGGGGATCAGGCACAGGGTGGAGTCCATGGTCTTGGAGACCTTTTCCAACCTTAATGACTCTGTGATCCTATGTTGTTTTCCATGAAGGAGGTGTGTTTGTTTATTCTCACATTGCTTTTGGTCTTACCTCCTCCAGCTCAACAGTTACATCTGAGTACACTCCTGATCCCAAGCTCAAGCAGAACATTTAATTGCTAAGAGACTTCCTGTACACAGAACTCTTAATTGCATTTAGAGCATAATACATGAGGAGGCTCCATCCACTCGAGTGGACTGGGGTTGTAAACTTAATTTCCCATCACATGACTTCCCTGGGTGTTCCATGGTGGTCATGAAAGACACCAGTTATAATCTACAAGCCCCATTAAATTTTCATCCACGTTCAGCTTTGGTGGTGATTTCCTGAACGCCCCGTATGTGATGTTCCCTTTCACCCAGGAGTACTTTCCCTTGATAAACACTGATGGAAATGCAACCAAAGTGAACTGATATCATCTCCCTTTTCCATTCTGAGGGTAGTTACTCACAGTTTTGCTCTGTTTGCAACCTGCCAAGGATCAGTTGGCTCAGAGAAGGACTTGCTGTGCCTGAGTGACTCCAGCATCTCCCCACAGGCACTGCTGTGACAGTCTCCTCCGGGCACCCAGAAGTCTCTTGCCAGCCATTTTCAGGCTCAAGGGTAGCATCAGTCTCACAATGGAAAACCTTATGAAAATGAAAGCTCTTGTAACCATCAGCAATCCAGAAACCCTCCTTGGCTGTCACACAACCCTGTGATTTCCCACCCAAGAGATGCTTCCCAGAAAACAGATACTTCTTTTTAACCAGAATTATTTTTAAAAGGTACTTTTTAGAGGTTTGTCTTTTAAGAGCAGTGGTATCAAGAGAACCATCACGAAGTCTGTCAGTGTTCCATGCCTCCTAAACAGAGCTGATAGCACTGCTCTGTCTCTAATCAAAACCCACCCAATACTTAGTGACAAAACCAGCTTAACCTGCTTAAAAATAACAGCACCAATTCATCGAGGTTTTTACAACACCTGATATAGGAAGATAAATAGAAAATATTTTTGTCTTGCTTAACTTTGTTTATGATGGCATTATGCAGGCATGCCTCTGGCTTACATATAATTTCCTTGCTCAAAGCCCTCCAAAGATTAGTGAGTGTGTCAAAATGGGTTTGTACAAAAGCAGCCCTGGGGGCCAAAACGTGGAAATTCTACAGTAAAAAAGCCTTAAACATATGAGTGTGTCATTTGTTCTTAGTGTAAATTTAAAAGCATTATCATTATATTAAGGACTTCAAATGTTTTCTGTTCCCTTCTGCTTTACAGGAAAATTCTTGCTGTGCTCCTAAAGATTCAGCAGTTTTCAAAAGACAATTTCCCTTGTATTTTTTATTACTGGATTTGTAGAGCAATTTAATCCATTCCATATTCTTCCCTGTGAGGGTGGGGAGGCCCTGGCACAGGTTGCCCAGAGAAGCTGTGGCTGCCCCTGGATCCCTGGAAGTGTCCCAGGCCAGGTTGGACGGGGCTTGGATCAACCTGGGCTGGTGGAAGGTGTCCCTGCCCATGCCCCTGCCCCTGGATAAGTTTAGTATTCCTTCCAACCCAAACCATTCTGGGATTCTATTGACTGGATTTTCAAACCAATGCCACAATTTTAGCATCCAAAGTCGATTTCTTTACCATTAAATCCTTAGCACCAGGTGTTTGGAAGTATTTAAGTCTCCAAGAAAAGCAAAAGGTTCAGGTGCTTTTGAAAACACAAGCAGGGCTCTGTATTTTTCCCATGTTACCCAGAAGCCTTTTTTGTTGGAAAAGGCATGAAGGTCAGTCTGTCTGCCCTAAAATTTCTGGATCAGGAGATGAAAACAGTGGGGTTGCCTGCCTTGCTCATCCTTTGGGGAGATTTTATGCTACTTTACATGGATATTGGGCCATGATTATGTGTATTGCACTCAAAAAGTACAGAGAGATGCCTGCGGAGAGATCAGTCCCTAGGGATTTACCCTACAGCCGGGCTGGGAAGTGAGTTAGATGCCTAATGGGATTTTCAAAAGCACCTTAATAGATTAAGCATCCAGTTACCCGGAGATTTAGGAACCTCGTTTTCTTTGCATTAGATTTTCCTTTGAAATGCAGTGTCTGGGTGCCAGCTGCATCCCTAGGGATACAAAGACCTCTGGAAATTGGGCTTTTAGCAATTTTCCAGGCAGCACATGATGTCAGTGAGCAAATGCAAGAGCTCTGTAGGCTGCTGGCAGGGGCTCTCTTTTTGGAGCTCATCCTTGGGCACTAATTCTCATAATGCATGAGAATGTCTGGCTGACATGACCAAAAATACCTGTAAATAAAGATATCCAAAGTGACTCCTTGGCCTCTTCATTCCACATTAAGTTTTATGGAAGAAATAACACATATTTGTAATTATTACTTATGGAGGGAAAAAAGGAAAATTTTAAATCCACTTTAAATTTTGCCTTCAAAAGACTGAATTAAATTATTTTTATCTCCTCTGGAGGTCTTATTTATTTCCTACAGTGGCTGAAAACTTCCTGTGCATCATATTTATTTCTCTTTTAACCCCCTCCTTTAAAGGTCTGTGTCCTACACTCCCTCTTGTTCTTCATGGAAATTTTTACCATGAATTAAAAGGAGCAGACAGAGTTGGGGTAAAGGACATTTTATTTAACTTGGCCTCTGCCTGGACCTACATATTTGTTTATGATTGTCAAGGTTCCTGCTTTCATCCAGGCAGAAAATAGTTGCTAAGCAGCAGCTTTGCTTTATAAAAGGCAGAGCCAGAGCCTGATCCTGCCCTGACTTGTGCATGTGGTTGCTTACAGGGTTGTCCCAAGGAAGGTGACTTGGATATACCTCCCACCTAAGAGCTGACACATGTCTCTGTACAACTCACAGAGTGTCTTGGTTTGGGCTGGGATAGAATTTTGACACACACACACACACACATATATATATATATGTATAAATTCTATTTGTGTTCTTGTATGTATTTCTGGGTGTGTCAGTACAAATTGATGTAAAATTTAGCATCTGTCCTCTTAAATGCATTCATTTACCTAAACTGTGCTGGTGGTATGAAGCCAGTCCATGGATTTTTGCCTTGGAAAAAGCCATCATAAAAACCTTGCATCGGGCTTTTGAGTTTCCTGCAAAACCAGAGAGGTTCATAATGTACAAAAGAACTGTCAAGTCATGTCTCAGCCTTTCTTGCATCATCGTGCCTCTGCCACTCTTTTTACTAAAAATAACTCATTTGTTGAAATTTATGCAAGTGTGTGAGGTGACTGGAACTGTACCAACGTTGGAGATGTCACTCAACAACCCTTCCCTGAGTTTTTGACCTGGGACACAGCAGCCAGGAGGATACATGCTGTCCTCTCAGCTCACAAAGCAGATCAAAAGCCTTAGAGGTGACGAGTGCAAATATACAGATTTCACATATTTATCATACAAATATAATATGATATGTGAATATTGTACAATTAGTGGTGTGACTTCAGCAAATCCAATCTAAAGTGCTGTAAAGCCACTGCTCCCATAGTCTGGCTCGGCCCAGCAGGCACCTGGGAGATGCTGGGAGCACAGACTGCTCCATCTTGGGATCATGGCAGGGACCCAGGCCAGGAATGACATGATGTTACTCCAGAAGAGCACAGAGAGTTCCCTTTGGAGGCACATCCCGGTCAGGTTAGACCCCTGGCACAAAAGTTGGAGCAAAACAAAACAAGGTTCAAAAACAAGTACATGAAGACCAGGTTGTTACAGCTCTGAAACACCACAGGAAGAGGCCAAGGAAAAGCTGGTCTAAATCAGCAGTGGTTGTTTTGCTAATCCAGATGGGATTACACAAGATACTTCGACGAGAATTTCACTCTCACCCTGTACCTGCATTTATTATTTTTTTCAGCAGACCCACTTTCATAGGCTTTAGTGTTTAATTAACTGTAAATGAACACATTCCCAAAGAAGTGCCAGTGTAGCCAGAAATTCTCAATTTTCCCCACTGCTGCTAACATTAATTTGTTTCACTATATCTTAAATAATACAATTCCAGTACCTCCAACCTGAATTTTAGATGTAATCAGATATATATCTCCCATATTCTGTAACATCATGTCAATATCTGAGTTTATCACAACTTCTCAGCACAAACTTAATGTTTGGCCCAAATCTCCAGTTCTTGGGAAAAGTTACTGCCATTTCTCTTCGGCGTTGAAAAGCAGAACTGATTTAAAGTGTATTTTTAAACAGCCAGTGGGAAGTTAAAAAGAGAAGTCACATGCATGACTCATGGTCCTGGAAACAGCTGCACTGCTTTTGGTGACAAAGGGCTGGTTTAGGCCTTATGTAACTCCAGGAAAATCAATATGCAGCAAATGTACTGACCCAGAAAGGAATGTGAGCCCAAATTAAAAAAATTACACAAACTGGCTCATCTCTTGTCTTTAAATGGGGGTTCTTTGTCCCCCCACATCTCTCACTTGCTGTGATGAGTGATGTGCTGGCAGTAGATTGGGTCACTTGTAGCTCAGAACAGCTTCAAAGCTAATCACTGCTGTACTGTGAGTGTTTGACAACACGAGGAGTATGTTGGGCCATTAAAAAAATCCCAAAATTCAGGTTGCACCCACCCTAACTGTGGGCAGCTTCTGGAGAGATAAAAAGGACTACATTCCAGTACCATTCCCCTGGAATTCAGCCTCCAGAGACCTCTGCAAGTACAAAACTGCTTATTTCCACACCTCCAAAGGACTCAGGAAACCGGAGCAGCGATGCTGGTTGTCTCTTTTAGGCACAAGTTCTGTTTGATACCAAAAATGCTGGACCATGAAGGAGTAAACTCTTCCTCAGTATGTATTCAAAGTGGTTATTTTTGTGCCTGGCTGTAGTTAGTTTCCCAATCCCCCTGAGTGTTTTATCTGCTGTTTATGGACACTGTATTCTGCTCACAGATTATTGGGTACTGTAGTACTCAAAACTAAAGCAAATCCAAGTATCTAAGACACATAATTAGCAACCCCAGGCCTATTTATAGGCCCTCAGGCCAATGGTCCATCTCATGGACAACTGGGAACAGAAAATGGTGTTTCAGGAGAGCCCGTGAGCCAATTCCTGTGGTCCCTCCTACTGCCCTGAGTTAGGGATATTAGAGGATACATCTCTGACTATTCCCTGTAGTAGCTATTCATGTACCTGGCATCCATGAATTTGTGTAATCTCATTCCAAATCAGCCTCCATCACCTCCTCAGGATTCCAGAAGTTCATTACATGTCATTTAAAGAAGCACTTTCTTCAATTAAAGTTTCGAATTTACCTTTTACCTGTTTCAACCTATGTCCTCTATTACTGACGGATTTAGGGAATAACCGTTTGTCATGCACCCATCAGCTTCATCCAAGGCCAGGCTGGACAGGGCTTGGAGCACCCTGGGCTAGTGGAAGGTGTCCCTGCTCATGGCAGGGGGTGGCACTGGATGTACATATAATGTCTGTTTTCATAGGAGATCAGCATCATCCTGAAAATCTCCTCCTTTGTTTGTTATGAATGGAACTCCAGGCGACTGTAGAATAGTCATCCCAAGTAATCCAACAGGCTGTGCAATAAACTGTTGTAGACCATCTCTGCTTTGCTTGCACAGCAGCAAGAAAGGGATCCCTTCTTGTGACACCTGTTGTCATCCCTTCCCCTTCTCCTGAAGGGAATGTTAGTCCAGCTGCAGCTCATGCCTCTTCCCCATTAGCTCATTTTCTGTATTTCAGCCATTTCAATCGTGTGTCCACCACCAAACCCCAATGCCCTGAGAGCGAAGCACAACACCCAGCCAAAGGCACACTGCAGGGCCATCCTAGTCCCTGGAATCTGCCCAGCCCCTCAGCACAAAGAGGAGGCAGCAGGTGAATGATCCAAGATTATTCCACAGAACTGACTTGCTTCAACCACACAGACTTAGGACATGTGTTTCCCATGTCTAGGAGTAGGTTTCCCACTCCTGTTCCTCTGGACACAGCAGCAGCTGCACGTACAGTGCCGGTGGTCTGAGGCAGGAGACCAAGTGTTTCAGCCTCTGCCAGGGGAGGAATGACATCCAACTCCACCAGCTGCTCCCTGACCTCAGCTGGGAGGGAGGGAGGGAGCAGCCTGGAGCAGGCAGAGAGAGTTCCCAAGGAACCAGTGTCGAGAGGTGTGGTGGGCAGAGGTGGGTTTTCAGGCAGAGGAACCAGAGGTGGGCCTGGGAATTTGAATGGAGACTGGAAAAATGGCCGTGGATAATAACGAGCTAAGCAAGCCCCAAGGTAAGGAGGAGTCAGGACTGGCAAAGTCAAGTTTGTCAAGAGAGTTAGTTTGTGGCTAAAGATGGATTGAGTGGAGAAGGGTAAGGGAGGGTTAGTGCTGACAGGAATGATGTCACAGTGTCAAATGATATCTCCTTCATTCGGCCTGTGTGGTTGGGTTGGGTTTGGAGTTTTTAATTCTGAAATTGAGAAGTCCTGGAAAGTTTGAGACTGTTCCTTGTTCTATCTCCTCCACCAAACTTTTCACTATGACCATGCCATTACCCATTCTTTCCCCAAATACGCAGTTCCTAGTGCTAGGACTTAATTTTTCAGGGAGGTAGCTAGGAAGGATGGGAAGATACTACAGCAATACCTGCAGCCAGCCAGTTATTTTGGCCATCAGCCTTCATTGATGACTTAAAAAACCTCAAGTATTTTATCTTATCCAAATGATAATTCATCTTTCTGGATATTTCCTCTCCAAAATCATCCTGGGTTATTCATATTCATAAGGTGGTCCTGTTCTAAATAGTTATATAAAAAAGACATGTATGTGCATGAGTCACATTGCTCTTTGCATCACACCAGAACAATGGCTTTAGGGTGAAAGTGTGTATACAGGACCTGGGTGTTCCAAATTTAACTCACAGTCTTGCTCCATTCTTCCTTTGTGACTCAAACCAATGACTTGGCCTTTTTGAGCCTCAGCTTCTAAAGCTGCAAAATGAGGTCTGTAAATCTCCCTGAGCTGCTGTGACACTACAGTCATTCATTTTTGTGATGGGATCAGAGATCACGGTAGGGAAAACTTCAAGAAAAGTAAGTATGGTAGAATTCCAAATAAATTCACTCATAAATTCACTCATAAAAACTACAAAACCAAAAGGGACCCAGCTTTCACTTACAGATTTCAAACTGGACTTTATAAATGGTAATGCCGCTTCCCCTTTCCCATCAAACACATCAGATGTGTTCATTTAGAAGTGAAAGGAAAAGATAAGGCACCCCATAAAAGTACCACAAGGTAAAGCCACCGGGGATTGTTCTCTCTAATGAGGAGTCAGTAATTTATCACCTTGGGGTTTGCCAAAAGTCATAAAAGCAGGCAACGAAAATTAGTGAAGAAAGGACATTCAGAAGACAGACCATAAATGAACAGGAGGCAAAAATTAAGAGATGAAGATAGATTATCAGTTCTGGGGGAAAGCAAGACAACATTCTCGGTTTCTTTTTAAACTTCAGGCCTCAGGACTGATATAAAAGGAACATCTGCTTTGTTTGCTCTAGTATCTCCTAGAATTCACAAAAGCTGCATACACACTCTGGTTTTTGGAGTGGCCATGAGAGTTTTTGGGTCTGAAACAGCTTGTAGAAAACCACTAGTGCCTTTTCCTCTTGTCCCTAAATACGTATCATTCCTAATGCTGGAGACTTGGGTGGTAATTAAGGATGTAAAACTGTAAGTAAACCCTGCTGCAATTACCTGAGTAATCTGGTTCAAATCAACTCACAGGGCTGATGGAAATGTTACTGCAGTCAATTATTTCCCACAGTTGCACAAGGGCCCGGTTCTTGTTCCCACTGAGTTCAAAGGTAAACAGGCTTTTAACTGACAGGAGCAGGAACTTGCTGTTGCTGGTAGGGATGGCTGCAGAGCTTTGGAGCTGGAACAAAACACACACAGCAATTATCTTGGCACCACAGACAGCATGTTCCAAACTCTCCATCTTATATATGACAATAACTGAGTCCTTAACACCAGGGTCAAAACAGAGTGTTTCATTTTAATAAAAATTGAGTTTGTTGTTCAACTGCCTCTCCTGGCTGTGCTGGTAGGTTAATGCCCAGCCTGTAAGGATGGCACTGTGGGATACACACACACATACATTCATTCAAAGGAATAAGCTGGGCATTCCACCCAGCACAATTAATGCTCCCGGGTAACACGAGCCTGTAGCTGTTCTCGTGGGGCCAAAGAGGGACAGGCATGACCTTCCAGTGGAATGTGCAGTGCTCAGGAGGGCACAGGGACGTGACACCCAGTGTATGTTACAGACTCTTGCTGCATCTAGTTTGTCCCCATGGGCAGAGTGCTGGAATTTTAAATCTCTCCAGCCTTTTTGTCCCCTCTCAAGGCCGTGGGGTAATTCAGATTCTGGAGGGGAGACACTGGTGATGCAGGAAAAGTGTCTCTTGCTCCAAACGTGCTCCTTACACTTTTCCCTGTGCTGCTCTGTCCTATGACATGCCACTGGTGAAATCAAAGAGAATCCATGTCTCAGAAAGTTATTTTTCAGACACTGTCAATACAGAGTGAGGACACGATTACACTAAATTTCTGTGTTCTGTGGAATAAATGATGGAGTTTAAAATTAATTCATTGCTCTTCATCAAGAAACAGTGTAGCTCACCTTTGGCTTGTTCCTGTGCACATGAGAAAATTGAGAAAAGCAACCCTCAAGGAGGGGTTCTCATTAACCTCCTGCCTTCCTGCCAGCAGGAATAGCAATTCTCACAGCAGCAATAGCTTTCCTTTCACAGGACATAAAGGTTTTTCTACATTTTTCTTTTTTTTTTTTCCCCCTAATTAAGCTAGTCATAGCATTATTGTGGCTGAAACATATAAGCAGAGTTAAAGTAACTTTAGAAATCTACCCTTCTGCTTGTGCAGAGATTACAAATCCAACAGTCCAACTCCTAAATCAATTTTGTTCTCATAGCTTTATGTTAGCATTAATTAAAAAAATAAAATTGAGGGACACTGGGCTCTTCTGTAAAAGCAGAAAAAAGAGCTTTGCTTGTAAAAGAGATTTCACAGTGTTATCATTCTTAATATTTGAAGAAACACTCACAATTTAAAATTTCTAACTCATTTTTCTTCACGTTTTGATTTTTCATTAGTAACGATGTAGCTTCAGATGGAGAAAAATAAAAAGAAGGAGGAGCAAATAGGGAGCTCCCAGGCTGCAGTACAGGCAGCAAACGTATTTAGTAAGTGCAACCTCAAGGACAAATAGTACAAAGCTCTTACTTGCAGGCACAGTCAGAAGCTGGCAGAAAGCTGAGGGGTCAGGAAGGCAAACAATTCAAGTGCAAAGTGTTTTATTGTAACCCTCTGGACAGGATGTTTCAGCCAAAGAAACTATTGTCCTTATGGAAGCACGAAAGACCTACAGGTGTATGGAAAGAATCAGCATTTTTATAATGTACAAGTAGAACATATTTGCAAATACCACAACTTAATACAGCTGGAAAGCATTTAATTTTAACTAGGCTCCTGGTCCTAAATAAACAATAACCACATTTCAAGTTCTACAGGAAAGCCATAAACTAGAGATTTTTTAACAGCTCATGCCCGATCAGAAACTCTTGAACATGTGTACTCCAAAGGATCAGACTTTAGTCCAGCCTCCTTAAAACCAAAGAGTCCCAGACTGGTTTGGGTTGGAAGGGACTTTAAAGCTCATCTCGTTCCACCCCCCTGGCCAGGGACACCTTCCATTGGACCAGGTTGCTCCAACCTGGCCTTGGACACTTCCAGGGATGGGGCAGCCACGAATGTGCCACTCCATTTGCTGGGGATCAGATCTGAATATCAGCTTTTGATTTGTCTGCTCCAAGAATGGTGCCAGGACAGGTACTGCTTTGAACACATCCACACTTGTGAACTGATGTTACATCTGGGTGAAATACTGTCCCAGGCCAGGGAAAATAACTTGTAACATAAAGAAAGTAGGATCTCCATGCCCAGGATGGATCTGCTGACAGTTCCCTGGGGAGAATTGTCTTGAAAGAGTTATAAAAGCTGTAATTTTTCAAAAATTGTCGCAATCTTCTCTGTGCAAGATATATCTGCAGCTGGGAGCTCACACGAGGCTTCATCCCAAAAGCTGTTGTCTTTGAGATGGCAGGATTGATCCTTCAAGGACAGGTATTCAGAAGAAGGGGTTTTTTTAAGACATTAACTAGCAGCTCTCTCGGAATCCTCTGTACATTTTCTGTGGACTTAATCCAATGGAATTAATTAGAGAGACTTCTATTTGCTTAATGGAAATGAGACAAGGCATAATTTATAGCCCTGTGGCAGACAGGCTCTGGCTTTCTGTCCAGCACAAATCAAGGAAGGTGACTCTGGTGGAAGAATGGGAAGGAAGAAGGGGAAGATGTTTACATTGTTCAAGAAAGATGAACAGAGACTTGATAGAGAACATGCCTTCAAAATGTAAGGCCATGGCTATTAAACCTGGGTCTTTTAATACTCCTCCATAGTGCTTATAAATTTCCTACAATCTTTGCTCCTAAGTAAAGGATTTATCCAAGATCATCATTGCTTTGCCACAGGGAAAGGAAAGGAGATGAAGTGCCCTGCTCAGAGTAGCTCTTATCAGCCAGCCAGATGGCAAACGAGGTGCCAGAGTTTACAGGAAAGAGTCCAGTGTGGACCATCAATCCCAACACAGCCCAAACAACATTAAAATGTCATTGCTAAGGACTCTGAGAGCCAAGGCACAGACAAAATGTGTTCTACACAAAGACTTCTGCTACCAGAATAAATTATGGAAAACCTCTCCAAAATGCAGCAAGGAAAAGCTATGGATGAGTAGACCGGTGTGAGAATTACAGAGAACAAAAGGAACCTTCAGTTGCAATACATATCTATATATAATTTAAATATATACACAATAAATGACGATTCACTAAATTGTATTGGGTTTCACAAAGCATTTCCTTCACTCATAGAAACAATTTTTCTCTTTAAAACCAAAGCAGGGCCCAGATCCTTGGCTGGGGGTGTCCCTGGCTCAGGTGCTGCACTGCACTGAGCTGTGCTAGTCTGGCCACACTCTGTGATGCTGTATTTAAAGACATATTGTAGAATGATTTGTCTTTATGTGAAGAGAAAAAGGTCTTGTTCTTACTTCTAGGACTAGCTTATTTTTTCTGCATTTTCTCCATTTTTAGTGCAGCAATCCAAGCCCCGTATTTTGTTCTCACCAAATCTAATATTTTCCCCTCTCACGTGGTTTTCACAACACAGCTTTGTCAGAAGCAGAGTTTGATGTTATGACATCAAGGCTTTGCAATATCCAGAATTAACAAATGCAGCCTTTCCTTTAGCCATTAGATCTTTAGATGAGACATGTGGGGACAGGGACCAGCAGAAGAGCCACATCGGAGTCAGGGACACCTACAAACCAGCTGGCTTAGGAGGAACACACCACTGGCATGAAAAGCAAGAGGGCTTTCCAACTCAATCCCACTAGTCCCTTCCAATAATGTGTTCTTCTTCAGAAATCAATTAAGATTTAGCATGAGTTTCACTGGGAAGGATTGCAAAGTTTCTAGCAATTTGAAATTAAAGTATTTGCATGTCATAGAAGTCTTTTCCATCATCACAGGAAATACAGTTGTCCAGAACAATGGTGTTTTAATGATGTAAAATAGTTTCATGTTGATTACTAAGCAAGAAGCACAGGAAAGAAACCTTTTTTTTCCAGGAGCGAGTTTGGGTCATCAGAATGCAACTGGCCCAAAGGAGATGCTGCCTGAGCTTAGACATGCTTCCCAAAATCCCAAACGTGTTCCCCTGTCTACATGAAGAGAACTGGGAACACTCATCTGCTAACTGTGCTGTGGGGAAGATGCTACTCTTGCTCTCTGACGTCTCAGTCGGTGGCTGATAATGAAAATTGACGGTGATTCATAAAGACATCTCCTTTCCTGAGAAAACTGGAACAGCAGCTTGCGTAATCCCGAGATTTACTTAATTAAGGAACATCCCAGCTATTTGATCATGGTTCCTGTCTCTTGTCTTCACCTCCTGCTCCCTCCCAGCTTTGCCTCTGATTACAATGGCCCTGATAAGAAACTTCATTCACAAAGCAAGCAGAGAGTGGGAAGGCAGGACTGAGGTGTGGCTGGTGATTTAAAAACTGAAAGGAGGCAGTGAGAATGTCTGAGGGAAATCGGGATTGTCCTGTTTGCTGCAGGCAAAGTGAGAAGCTGGGGAGGGCTCAGCTGCAGTGTGGGCACTGTGTATCTCAGAGAGGTGTGTAGGTGAGGAATATACCTACAGCTTTAATGCCTGCTTCCGAGGAGACAAGACCATTATTTGCAGTATTTTGAAGCACTTTCTGCTTGAAATCTCAGAAACACCCAACTTCAGTGTTTTGAAACACACTTCTGCACCGAGATTCTTGAAAAATTATAGAGAAATGGGTAAATATTATAATATATGACAGTATATCACGCACATTTGACCGGCAAGACACTGAAGCTGTATCTAACATAATCTACAGGTTTCCTCTTTCCTGACCAAGGCGGCCTCCGAATCCGGAGGAAGCATACAGGGAAATTGCACAGGGAAGTGTATCGCTGCCTTCCAGGTGACCTTGGCACTTTAAATCAGGAAGCAAACATGGAGCCTCAGCCTTCATCCGGTCCGTGGATTATTTATGATGATCTTGCAGCAGCCCTCAGGCCCAGCCATGAATCAGGAACCCGCTGCACTATCTCACATACAAACACATAACAAACAGACAGGGCTTCAAATACCCCTCATTTATCAGCAGGGATGTTTTCAAATTACTTTTCCTGGCAAGACAGGATTTATCGTGAAGAGAGTGTGTGGATATTTCTCATCCAGCTGGGAAAATGCCGTTCCCAGGGGGTTCCAAGGTGCTGGAAGAGGCGAGATGGAGCTGGCGTTGCCTCACACACAGGGCAGGCTGCCAGGGAGAGTTCCCAGCATTAAGCATGGCATTTTTTGGTCAACTAGATATGACCCCTTGAACTACAGCCCAGAGCAATGAGGGGGAGTCATGGCTGAGGGGCGGCCATGGCTGAGGGGATGACATGGCTAAGGAGGTGAGATGGCTGAGGGGATCATGGCTGAAGGGGTGACATGGCTGAGGGGGGCCATGGCTGAGGGGATGACATGGCTGAGGGGGTGACATGGCTGAGGGGGTGACATGGCTAAGGGGGAGTCATGGCTGAGGGAGGGCCATGGCTGAGGGGATGACATGGCTGAGGAGGTGAGATGGCTGAGGGGATCATGGCTGAAGGGGTGACATGGCTGAGGGGGGCCATGGCTGAGGGGATCATGGCTAAGGGGGAGTCATGGCTGAGGGGGGGCCATGGCTAAGGGGGTGACATGGCTGAGGGGATGATATGGCTGAGGGGGTGTCACAGCTGAGGGGGTGCCATGGCTGAAGAACACGGGCCGCACCAGGTTTGAAAAACCAAGGGTCACCGAGCCAGCTGTGCTCGCGGTTCAGCCCTGCGAGCAACCCCGCGGCGGCGCCGGGTACCGGCAGAAACGGGCACGGCGGGTCCGCCCCTACCTCCTCCTCCTCAGCCCTCACGGGCCCGGCCGTTCTCCCGCCGCCCCTGAGGCGGACGCGCCTTGTCCGCAGCGCCCCGGCCGCGGAGGGCGGAGCGGCCGGACTCGATTCCCGGCCGACCGGGGCCGATCACCGCCCCAGCACCGCCTCCTTCCCTCCTTCCCTCCCTGCCTCGCTTCCTCCCGCCGCGCGCAGGCGAACGGTCCGAGGCGCAGCCCCTGCGTGTTCCCGCAGCTCCGTGGCCGCGCTTCCCGCTCCGCTCCCGCCGCCCTCCCCCTCCTTCTCCCCCGGCAGCGCCGCGCCCTCCGCGCCCTTCGCTCCCTGTTCCCGGCGGGCCGGGGCTGCCCCTGCAACCGGCTTCCCCCGCACTCCGGAGGCTCCCAATATGTTCAGCGCCGTCTGCGCTCAGAGGCACCAGGTAGGGCGGGCGGGGGGCGGCGGGGCCGTGCGGCCGCTCTTTGTTCGGCGCCGGGGAGCGGGCGGGGCGGCGGCCCCGGGCGGGCGCCCCGCGCTGAGGGAGCCGGAGGCGCTGCGGCCCCGCCGCTCTTTGTTGGTGCTCGGGGCCCGTCTCCTCGGGCCGCGGAGTTGCCGTGTGGGCACGGCCTGGAGGGCGGGAGGCCGCTCGGTGCCTGTGGGGGCAGCGGGGCTGTGGTGTGACCCCGGCCGGGGCTCCCCGCGCTCTGCGGGGCTGCGGGGCCAAGGGCAGCGTTGCCTCCCCCAGCGCCACCTCCCTGAACCCTCGGCAGTAACTGGGGGGAAAAGACCGCGGAAGTCCCGGGCTTTGCAGGAAATAGGGGTGAACAACGTGTGCTGACAGCTGGTTGCCAATGTCACGACCCTTTCTGTCATCTGTACCCGCTCTAGGAACTGGGGGATAATACAGCCAGATGTGGGCTGTCAGCCCACGTTAGTGCTTCTGGGGAAAGCTGGTGAGGATGAATGACCACGGGGTTTGTTGGGTTTTTGTTTGTTTCGGGGGGGTGGGTGGGCAGAAGTACAGTATTTTCTGCCGGTGTGCACCAGTTTCCAGCAGCTTTGTGGAATTCTTCAGAGGCGCTTCAAGGTAGAAAATGCCTTTGCATTAGAAAATACCTTCGCATTGGCACCCTCACTGTTCCCTCACCCGGAATTCCCATGGACAGTAAAACCTGGATGGATTGGTTATGGTTTTTATGGAGGATAGAGGAATGTTGACAAAGTGAGAGGCAGAGTTACTCCTAAGGAGATGAGTGGTGGTGGAGTAATGGAAACACAGCCTCATGTCACTCTTTATTTGTGTGGTTTGTGAAGGGAGGATTTTTTTGTTGTTGTTTCCAGTGATGGGTGTGTAGACACCACATTTATTCTCTTCTGTCAGGGAGCTGCAAAATAAGAAGCCAAGCAGGATGTGGTGCTTCAATGGTGAGATTGGTTTAATTTTAGAAAGTGGATTTTTTAGCCACAGGCCTGACTCCTGAGCACAGGGTGCAACAGCGAGGGAATACTTTCCGGTTAGGAAGCTGCTGTAAATAGGTCTGATTTTGTTTTCCTCAGCTTGAGTTCATAAGGAGCAGGAGATGGTAAGAAAGGCAAAAACTACCCAGAATGGGGGGGTGGGAGACCAGGAGGACACACAAACAAACCCCACTAATTTGGTTGTGTGACAGATGTTTAGAGAACTGTGGGAAGTGTCTATTAGTGGAAAAAAGAAACCCATGAGGAGGGAGGGAGGGGGGAGGAAAGAGCTCAGATTTTAGTAGAGTGGATGTGAGGCAGAAGCTGAAAAAAGAGATGTAGATAAAGACTACGTGAGAAAGGGGAGGAAAGGCAGGAGCAGTGTGGAAAGGGGACTAATGAACAGTGCTGGGACTCGGAGGCGTGGGAGGCCAGTCCTGGAAGCGAGTGCTAAATGGGCAGCTGAGGTGTCAGAGCTGAAGCTTGTCGCTGGAACAGCAGTAACAGTCAAGCAGAAAGCCTGCTGCTTATAAATTTTTAAAGTGTGCATGCATAATGTGTGTTTGGAAGAGCTCTCCAGGCTTGCTCTCCATAGAGGACAGTCCAAGTATTGCATCTCTGGGGCCGCATGTCAGAGATTTTGGAAAAGGTCCACAGTACTCCATCCTTCCCGTTCAGTTCTTACCCAGGGACAGCAAATATTCCCTCCCTCTCTCCTCATTGCTGGGGTGGGAGCACAACTGAGGTTGATTTGCAGCAAAATAGAGCAATTTTGTCTACAAGTCATAGTTATCAGTGAGACTAAATCTTCAGTGGAAATCAGCTGAGAAGTGAATAAGCAAAACAAATTGTTGTGAATCTTGAGTCTTACTTTAAACCCCTGGTGTAAAGAAGTCGAGCCTGTTTAGTGGTGTAAAGTATGTTAATACGTGTCTTGGTCCGTGACGTGGACCAGTGCAAACTCAGACATGAAAAGATAGTGTGTTTGTATCATAAATAAGTGCTGATCTCTGAAAGAAATGTTTTGAGGACGTCTGGTTTTATCTTCTGATACAGGTAATGGACTGTGAACAGTTGTAGGTGTGACCTACATTTCTTCTGAGCTGGGCTGTGACAAGCCAGAAAGCACCTACAGAGGTGTTACATTCCTTTTTTGTTTCATTGTCCCAACAAGTGTCAGTTGAGTGTCCATCATTATTTCAACAGGTATTGACTTTCTCCCAAGGTAGTGCTTCACTTGTGAGTTGAAGAGGTAATACCTTAATGTGACAAAAAAGTTTGTGCAAACTTGGCACAGAGCAAGGGCTTTGTCTGCCTTTCCAGTGAAATACAGCACATGGAAAGTGGACTGTATTAAAGGTGAGAGGTGAAAGAGATACTCCCTGTGTTGTTGGGTCATGGGCAAGGTGACTTTTGCCTCTGGAGCTTGTCTTGGTGCCTCACCAGAGATCACAGGTCCTACAGGTGGCTCTGCAGGGGAGTCCTAGGGCATGGTAAAGGGTTTGAGATGCTCCAGTAATAATCTTGGGGAAGGTTTTTTAAATGCTGGAATATTTTCTGCAGCGAACAACTGTTTTAATAAAACATTGGGTTGTGCAGATTCAAAATGCTGAATGCAATTAGGAATTTAAAGTGTATTAATTATTACATTTATTTGCTCTTGTAACTGAGCTAATCATATTCCAGCAGCATTTACAAGATATATAAGAGGATAGTTTAGTGAAGGATGAGAAGACTTAGTATCATGGTTATTTAGGTGAGTCTTCTTAAATGCACCTTTAAATGTACATACAGTGAAATGGAAAGATGAATTTAAGAGGAGGAAGTTTCCCTTCTGGAAGCCAGTGCGTGCAGCCAGTTTATCTCCGAGTGTGTTACGAGCCGTGACTCTCTCATGGCCCAGTGGTACACACATGCAGCAGAGGAGAATCTCAGCCTGTGCCCCACGTGAAGTGTTCAGGAACCACAGTTATTCCAGCACAGTTGTGTTTGAGTGGAGCAGCTGGGCAGACATTTGAGTCCTGGCATTCCCGTGCTTGGGAACAGCCGTGACGTGGGAACACACCACGTGAGCGTTGGGCAGCACAGCGTGATCGGCTCTTGATCGAAGGGCTGTCACCACTGTCCAACCTCAGGATTAACTAGAACAGAAATCCAGAGTTCACACATCACTCTGGTTTCTTTTCTTTGCTTCATTTAAAAAGTAAGTGCAGGGAGCTCTCAAGTAAGAGTTTTCTCAAGTGGAACGTGTTGTTCCCATTCCGGGATGCCAGTTTTGTAGCTTCAAAGTGTTTAAAGAAGTGCATTTGGGTGGAGCTTGAAAAGTCTTCAGAGGCACCAGGATTTTCCTGAGTGGCAATGATCTGGGAACATCACACTTGGCTTCAAACAAATTCAAAATCCCGGAAAACTGTGAAAAAAAGCCACACATGGTTCTTGCCTGTGGTGAGCTAGAAGGGAGTATAAGCAAGGGGGAGAAAGGTAATGAGAAAGTGATTTAGATTTTTAAAATAATTTGTAGGAAGAGGTTGTTTGCAGTACCTGTTTATAACCTTTAATGCAGAAAATGCAGCATTCTTGGCTTTTCAGTGGATTTTGGCTGATAGTTTGGCTTTTGTTTTAGCAGTAGTACACCAAACCAAAAAGAATGTGGAAAGTAATGAATCTGCTCATGCTGTTTAATGCTATTTTGAGTAATAATATTAGCCATGACACACAAACCAGCACTGAAACTCTGTGGCAATAATTAAGACATTCTCAGATATTCAAATTGGACAATGCTTTGAGGTGCACCAATGTGTACGTGTGGGTTTGATGTCACGCACAGAGGACTGCGAGAGACAAATCTTCCATTGCAACCCAGAATTATTTGGGATGGCCTTTTTAGGTCTTCAAGGTCACAAGAACAGTGGTATAACACTTGAAATAAAGTTGATATGCTACAGCAGAATGTGACAAAACGTGCGCAGAGATGTAAACTGAGCGAGGCCGGTGCTGAGATTCGTTTGGAATTGTTTGACTGGCTGTCCTGTAACTGGAAGTGTTTTGGTTGAGGTGAATCTTTGGGGAGTCAGGCTCTGTTCTGAGAAGTTTGGATCACTTTGAAACCTGCAGTGATTATGGCAGTTGTGCCCACATGAGAAGTGTTGACTGCCAAACGCTTAATTAAATATTTGGTAAATAGAGCTTGGTTTCAATTTCAGAACTTGCCTGTAGGATTATAAAAAGAATACACCTTTAATCTTTGAGATTTCTTTTCCTAGAACAGCAGGCTGACCTTAAAGTAGAAGGTTGTAGTCCCAGGGTCCTCCCAGCGTTCCAGGGTTCTCCATTCCAGCTGGATGGAGCTCTGGAGCAGGTGTTCCTTCCTTGGAGGAGGGGGTGTACCCGTTCCAGCAGCCAAACTTAATGACAGTTAATTCTTCCTGCCCGGAGTGTTGTCTGCAGGGCCGCGGGGCTGGGAGCGGTGTGCCGTGGAGCTGGGATACGGCGGGATAATGCCCCCTGCCGCTGCCGGGAATCAGCCTCCCGCTGGAGCTGCTGCTCTGCCGAGGGACCAGGGACACGCAGCTCCTGCCCGGGGACACCCGGGTGGCAGCACCGGGGCACCGGGGCTCTTCCCTGCAACGGGGGCAACTTTTTTTAGGAAACCCGATTCCCGATGTGGCATTTACTGTGTAGATATGAGGAGAGTTTTGGAGCTGGAGTGCTCGAGGTTTTCCTGAGGTGGCATCAGGGTCATGG